TCAAGTGGAGTCAGCCAGGGAACAGCTAAAGAAAGTCGAAGCGGACGCTGAGCGGTTGCGAGCAGAACTGAACGATTCCCTTGCTCGTGAAAGTGCTCTGCAGACTGAGCTATCTAAGATCCGGGCGGAGAAGTCTGAGATGCAGGATGCTCGGGAGGCCGACATGCTGCAGGCTGCCAAGGAGGCGAGGGAGACATTCTGGACTTCCGAAGAGTACCAGGTCGCCGACGACAAAAAGTACAAAAAGCTGCTTCGCGACACCGTGGCCGCCATCCGTCATTGGTTCCGCCGTGAACAAGCATCGCGGCCGGAACCGTTGAAGATGAGGAGGGTGGACAAGATGGCGAGCAGCAGGATGGCGAGGAGTAGCCAGATGGGGAGGACGGTCGGCGTGATGATGGTGGGGAGCAGTAAGATTGGGTTAAGTTGAAGTTGTTTTCTTTTTCTTTATGTTGTGTAAACTTAATCTGCTCCGGCAGTAGATATTTTGGTGTGCCCCTTGTGGGTGCACCTGTGGAATGTTTGAATTTTCCCTTTGCATTATCTTGTGCTCTATCTTGTGTAGGCGGTTATATTTTTAGGGCGGCTCATGGGTTCTGCCCCTTATAAGCGGCGTTACGACTTTCTTCGTAGCAATGCGCTCAGAGGCGGTTAAGTATTTCGTTAGACGCTTAAGAGCGGTTTGCGTGTCACGTTTTGCTTGGAAGCATTACGTTTGTTTTGCTTTGAAGCGTTACGTTCTAAGGCGGTTATGCATTATGCCCAACGCTTAGGAGCGGTTTACGGGTTTACTTTGCCTTGAAGCGTTACGCTCTGAGGCGGTTATGTACTGTGCCCAACGCTTAGGAGCGATTTATGGATTTTGCTTTGAAGCATTATGCTCTGGGGCAGTTGTTTAAATTGACAAGGAACGCTCGGTGGCGCTTTTCGTTCAACTTCCAAAAGTAGGCGGCCTACATGATATTTTCCTAAAAGACACCTCTTCTCGAGCGCATCCCTTCAAACGGCCGCCTGCAGAATTACTCGTAGTATTTCTTCAAGTGAATGGCATTCCAAGTCTTTGCCATTGGTTTTCCCTCCATCGTGGCTAGTATGTATGTCGCTGGACCCAACTTTTCGCCAACGAGGTATGGTCCCTCCCATGCGGCGGCCAGCTTGCCAGGCCCCTCCTTTTGCTCGAAGTTCCTCTTCAGGACCATGTCACCTTCTTCCAATGGCCTGGGCTTTACTTTGGCGTTGTACGACTTGGCGGTCTTCATCTTCTCTTCCAGGGTTCTGACCAGCGCGGCGTCTCTTCTTGTTTCCACCATGTCGAGATGATGAAGGAGTTTCCTGTGATTGCTCTCTGGGTCATATGCTTGGACGCGCAATGACGGTAGGGCGAGCTCGGTTGGTGCGACCGCTTCTGAGCCATATGTCAGAGCAAATGGCGTTTCCCCAGTAGCTTGCTTGTAGTTTGTGCGGTGCGCCCACAACACGTGGGGGAGCTCCGCGGTCCATCCTCCCTTGGCTTCCTTGAGCCTCCTTTTCAGACCGCGCAAGATTAACTTGTTGGAAGACTCCACCTGTCCATTGGTTTGTGGGAATGCTACGGACGCCATCTTGCAATGGATGCGATTCCGAGCGTAGAAGTTTTCAAATGGTCTGCAATCAAACTGCGTGCCATGATCAGTTATGATAGTGTGAGGTGTTCCAAACCTGATCATTATGTTGTGGAACAAGAACTTCTGAATTTTGGCACTTGTGATTGTGTCCAGCGGTTCTGCTTCGATCCACTTTGTGAAGTAGTCGACCGCGACCACAAGATACTTCTTCCCCAAAGGAGCTGTGGGGAATGGGCCCAAGAGATCTAGACCCCACTGTGCGAATGGCCTTGGTCCTGTGACGCTCTTCAGCTGTTCGCTTGGCAGATGCTGCTTGCTAGCGTGTATCTGACACTCATGACATTTTTGGACCGCCTCCATTGCATCCCTCTTCACTGTTGGCCAGTAGTACCCTTGCAGCAATATTGTTCTTTCGAGGCTCCGCGGCCCTGAGTGAGTTGCGCAGGTGCCTTGATGTATTTCTTTGACCACCCATTTCGCTTCTTCTGGGCCTAGACACTTGAGATATGTCCCTGAGAAAGACCTCTTGCATAGTTGCCCCTCTACAATGGTGTAGTGGGCCGCTTTTCTTTTGAGTGCCTTAGCCAAGACCGCATTCTCCGGAACAACATCATTCTGTAGGTAATCCACCAATGGGGACCGCCAATCATCATCGCCCTCGATGACCATTACTTCATATGCTTGGACCGCCTCTTTCATTACTATTATTCTGCGTTCCCCTTCAAAATCCATTGCGGTTGCCAGTTTTGACAAGGCGTCCGCATGATGGTTATCTTCTCTCTTTACGTGCTCGAGCTTCCATGAATCTAACTGAGCTAAAGTTCCTTTGACCTTCCCCGCCAACTTTGCAAGGGCTTCTTCTTTCACCTCATAGCTTTCCAGCACTTGGTTTACTACCAGCAACGAGTCGGAGTAGATGTGCAGGTGTGAAGCGCCCATATTGATGACAATTTTGAGCCCGCTGAGGAGCGCTTCGTACTCCTCCGCGTTGTTAGTTTTCAACTCCAGGAATCTGTGAGAGATTTCATGTATTACTCCCGCCGGTGTCTCGACGACGATTCCTGCTCCCGCTCCTCCTTTTCCTGCTGCCCCATCGACGTACAGACGCCACACATCTGCCTCCTTCTTCTCCCCGGCGCTTTCCAGGCTGAACCCTTCGGCGACGAAGTCTGCGAGCACCTGTCCCTTGATGGAAGGCCGCGGAGCGTATGCAATATCATACTCGCTTAGTTCAACCGCCCATTTGGTCATCCTGCCGGACACGTCCATTCCCTTCAAGATCTTCTTCAGTGGTAAATTTGACAAGACAACGACTTGATGCCCTTGGAAGTAAGGACGCAACTTTCTTGCTGCCGTTACGACCGCCAAAACTGCTCTCTCAATAGGCATGTATCGCCTTTCAGCTGGCAGGAGTGCCTTGCTTACATAGTAGACTGGACGGTCCGAGCCATCGCAATCTCTTCGCACCAAAACCGAACTGACCGCTTGATCAGAGACCGCCAGGTAAAGATATAGGGTTTCAGCCAGTAGTGGGGCGCTCAGTACAGGGGGCAAAGTCAGCTGTTCTACCAACTGAAAAAAGGCCTTATCACATTCCGCGCTCCACTGTGAGCGGGATGCTGATTTCTTCAACATTTGGAAGAATGGGGAGCATTTGTCTGCTGACCTTGGGATGAACCGACTTAGGGCGGCCATTTTTCCGTTGAACGCTTGAATCTCTTTAACCGTTTGCGGCGGTCTTAAGCTCGTTATGGCTTCTATCTGTTTTGGGTTGGCCTCTATGCCTCTGCTTGTGATCATGAACCCTAAGAATTTCCCTGCCTTGGCCCCAAACACGCATTTCAGCGGGTTTAACCGCAGGCGTTCTTTTCTCAGACTTTCGAAAGTCTCTTTCAAGTCCTTCAGGTGGTCCGCCTCCTTCTTACTCTTTACCAAGACGTCATCAACGTATGCCTCCACATTCCTTCCCAGTTGGCTCTTGAAGACCGCATCAATCATCCTCTAATACGTTGCCCCGGCGTTCTTCAAGCCAAATGGCATGACCGTGTAGCAGAAGTTTCCCATGTGGGTCATGAAAGTTGTCTTTTCCTGATCTTCTTCAGACAAGCAGATCTGGTGATACCCTGAGAACATGTCCAAGAAACTAAGGCTTTCATGATTGGCGGTCGCGTCAATCAGCTGGTCTATTCTTGGCAGTGGGTAGGCGTCCTTTGGGCAGGCCGCATTCAGATTTGTGAAGTCTACGCACATTCGCCATAGCCCAGACGCCTTGCGAACGAAAACAGGGTTTGACAGCCAAGTTGGATACTTGACTTCCCTAATGAAACCAGCTTTTAGAAACCGCCTCACCTCTTCTTCCAAAGCCATTTGCTTTTCCAGGGATGCTGTTTGCCGCCTCTGTTGGATGGGCTTCGACTTACTTTTCACTGAGAGGTGGTGCTCTGCGAGCCCTCTCGAAACGCCTGGCATGTCCTCCGAGGTCCATGCGAACAGGTCTTTGTATTCTTTGAGAAGCGCCAACAGCTCTCTTGCTTTCTCTTCTGTCAGATGAGAAGAAATTCTCACCTTCTTTTCAGGTTCCTCGTCATCGAGGACTACTTCCGCATCTCCTTCAAACGCTTCTGGGCGGGGGTGCCCCCCTCGTGTGTCTACCTCCAAGCTTTCTATCGTTGCCTGGTAACACTCTTTCGCTTGCTCCGTGTTTCCCTTGACCCGTCCTATTCTTCCCCCGACAGGAAATTTGAGCATTTGGTGGCACGTTGATGGGACCGCAGAAAATAGCGATAGGAAACCGCGTCCCAGAATTACGTTGTATGCTGACGGGCAATCCGCTACATGAAGTTCCATGGTGCGCGTCTTCGTCACGTCTCTTTCTCCAATGGTTACTTGTAGGGCGATCATGCCCAGCACTCTGATTTTCGATCCTGAGAACCCCACAAGGCTGGTCGTCGAGGGTTTCAGATCCTGTATGCTCATCTTCATACTCTTTAGCGTGGAGTAAAACAGTATGTTTGCTGAGCTCCCATTATCCACCAACGCCCTTGTGACTTTGAACTTCCTAGTTCTTAATGAGATAACGAGTGGATCTTCTGCGCTCTCATCAGGTGCTAGCTCAGAGGGCGAGAAATTGATGTCTACTTGCTCCCCTCTATTGACATTCAGACATTGAACTAGGCGGTCTCCTTCGTTCCTTGGCCGCTTCCGACCGCCTGCGATGGTTATAAATTCTACGTCATCCTCATTCAGTCGGGGCTGACGCTGAGGTGACCTTCGGGGTGGTGGTGGTAGGCGTTCCCGCCGTGGGGATCTCTCTCTCCTTGGCGATCTTTCTCTCCTTGGCGATCTTGACCTTCTGCGCCTTGGCGTATGCGACCTTCTTTTCGGGCTCGGTGACCTCTCTCTATGGTGCTTTTCTTCTTGACGGTTGGGACGTGTGTCTAGGCGGCTTCTGAGGTCTCCAGGTGCCAAGTATTTCAGACTGGCCCTGAACTCCCGACACTCTGCGGTGTCGTGGGTGGGAGTTTGGTGCCAGTCACACCATTTCCGATCCTCTTCCCTCCTATGCGTCTGGCGCGCATTGCTGTTGTCGCCTCCTCTTTCTCTCCCTTCTTCTTTACTGGTGGTGTAAACTTCCCTTCGATTGTCGCGGTGGGAAAATTGTGGCTTATAGTTGCGTTTCTCCGGAGACCGCCCTCTTCCCTTGGGCGATCCTCCTTTCCTCTTCTCCGGTCTTTCCCTCGCGCTGACACGCTTAGCGGTGTCCTCCATTATCATGGCCTCTTCCAACAGGATCGCCTTTCTCACTAGGCGGTCCAGATCAGGTCATTCCTTCAGTACATGTTCTTTCTTGATGAGCGCTCTCCGCAGTTCGCAGCTGTGTGTGGACATACGTAAGTTCCCCGCTGCTACGCTTGGCGATATTCCCTGCACTTCACAAGCTATGGCGTTCCACCGGTCATAGAAATCGGTCAGCGTCTCTTCTCCGCCTTGCTTGCAGTTGATTAGGGCGGAGACGGTTAGCTTCCTCCTTCGCTGGGATGCAAAGTTGGAGGAGAAGAGGGTGGCAAACTTTTCGAAGTTCTCGATTATTCCCTCGGGAAGGGAGGTATACCAGGTTCGACAGTGCCCTCCAAACGTGACTGGGAATGCTTTGCACAGATCGGCGTCTGTGGCATTGATGAGCTGCATCTTCAGTATGAAGGCGCTCAGGTGGTCGGCGGGATCAGAGCTTCCGTTGTAAGTTGGCAGCCCGAGTGATGAGAAGTTCGATGGTACTTGAGTTTTAAACAGACTTTTGGCTAGAGGGTTTTGTAAGATGTGGTGGGTCTTTGCGCCCCCATATGTGGGCTTAAGATGTTCCTCCAGGAATCCAAGGCTGTCATCTCCTGCTCCTTCTTCTTCGTCCGACTCCCCGCCTTCAGTCGGAGCAGGGCTGTCGGGGTCTCTGTCTCTTCCTTTTCCTTTGGCTGTTCGCTTCCCCGAACCTTCTGGGGCCTCCCCTTCCTTTTCTTTGAGCATGGTCAGGATTTGGCTCAAACTCTCTTGCATGCTTGATATCTGCTGCCCTTGACTTTTTACGCGGTCCTCCATCTCCCTCTCTTCCTCCACTACGGGCATTTCCAACCCGCGGAGGCCGCCCGTCGCGATCTCTTGGCTGCGGAAGCCATCTCCTCTGACCATGTCTTTGACAGGAGTATTGGAGCTCCCGTCCATCCTTTCTTCAGTGCCTCTCTCGCCCCACGGTGGGCGCCAAATTGTTTAAGCCTGGAATGTTCCAGGCGGTTGAGTGCAGGGCAAGCTAGGCGTCTGTTCCGGATAAAGGGTGTACTCCAATTCCTACAAAACAAGGGTCCGTGGGCGGTTCCCCGGACACCCTCCAATGCCTAAGTTAGAGAGAGAATGAGAAGTGTTGTTTTAGGTTTAGATAGAGAGAGAGTAGTTGAGTTACCATTAATGCCGATACCGGTGTATTTATAGTCAGCCAGCTTAGGTATGGGCATTTAATGCTTTGTCAGGCGGCCTAAGCACATTAGACTTTACTCGGACCGCCCGCGGCGGGCATTAAATGCTCAGTCCTGCTTTGTACGAGGTAAGAATCCTAGGAAGATCTACTTTTCCTGACACCAACGGTCTCCTGTGTCAGGCGGCCTACTTCCCGTCACGTCATAGGGCGGCCGCCTGTGGTTACTCTTTTCCCCATGTCTCCTCGGGTCCCGTTCTTTGACTCGGTCCCTTCCTTTGGGCTTAGCCTCTGTCTCCTCGTGGGCCTACACGGGCCTCTCAGGCCCAATACTGCTTAACTATGGGCCCAACAGTTATTAAAAAAGTTTATCAAAATAAGTTAGTTATAAAAATAATTCTCGAAGTTTGTATGTTTGTATATTACCCTAATGGTCTAAGACAGTGAACTTGATCACTGCAATATACGAAAGCAGTGAACTAATCATTGCTTGCATTGAACACAGTTAATTAATCACTGTGCTAGTCATTGACAGTGAATTGGTTCACCACAGTCCACAACGGCGATCCTCTAATCCTTCCACGTCACCAATCCGTCCCCTCGCGCCCCTTCACCGCAGTCGTAGGATGCAGTGAGGTGCGAATTCTGATTTTCCTCTCACATCCGACACCTCACAGCATCTCAAGTCAGCGATCTGCGCCAATCAGCGCAATAGAGGAGAGCGGTGAATTGACTGCAGTCGTCCGTTGCTGGGTATTGTCTGCAATCGACGACTCCAGTAATTTCCCTGTCTCTATCTCCAGCAGGTTCTTCTCCTATAAATACCACCACTCCCCCTTATTCCAAACCACACCACCACACAATTTTTCTTACTCGCTCCATTCCTCCACTCTATTTTCGTTCTAAGTATTCTCTGTGATTGCGGCTAAATCCGATCTTCAGCATTATAAAGAATTACTAGAGTTTTTTTACAACCATCCGCCCTAAAAACCCGTCATTACTCTCTGCATCTTTCGCCAAAAAATGGACGAAGAGGCTCTGAGGGTACGTTCTTTCTTTTTCTCTCGTGATTTTTTTATTTAAATAGGTACGAAATAATCTGATTTCATTCAAAAAAATTTATAGATGGGTGCCAAGATATACGACCCTCGATTGTATATCCATCCTGGCCCAGGGGATGTGAGGTAGCAAGAAATACATAGCTCCCGTGCGATTTGACACAACAATCCGGTATACACTCCGTACTGTATAAATTTGTAAATTATTTCACTATTTTAAAAGGTTTTATTTTCTTTTCCTTTGACTAACAAATTCATGTTTTTTGTTTTATTTTTTTGTGGGAATCACTCATTCCCGTCGGTCATCGAGGGACAACAAGATTGCCCGCTTGGCATGATTAGTGATGGCAATTTCAACCCGCCCCGCGGGCATTACCCGACCTGACCCGCGATGGGGCAGGTAATACCCGACCCGCAGTGGCATGGAGCGGGGCATGGGTATCTACTTCCGCCCCGCCCCGTTCTAGACTCATTTTATCTCAATTTCTTACAATATCTATACATATTTTTCCTATTTTGACTTTTTTTCAACTAGTTAGAGTCGATCTTTCAACTTGTTAGCCTCAATTATCCATTCTATTATCAATATTTTTCATTCTTAAAGTGTTTTTCCCTACGTTTTATAGTAAAAAGTAAAATTTACTTCTATTTTTTTTTTGAACAACATGTAAGAGTGGGTCGACCCGCCCGGCCCCGTACCCGCGCGGGTTTTACCCGTCCCAACCCGTAGTAGCGTGGAGCGGGACATGAGAATTGAGGTACCCGCCCCGCCCCGCCCCATTGCCATCACTAGGCATGATCGATTCTCGCCGTATCTAGAGAGGACGAGATTGGACATGCTGAGGCACTTTATACGGACTGATATTGCCAACGATCTGCTGAAGGCAATGGCAGAGCGATGGCGGCCCGAAACACATATCTTCCACTTTCCCGAGCGGGAAATGACGATCACCCTCAAAGGCGTTGCCATCCTCACCGGAAAGCCGGTCACTGGAGATGCCATCATCGGCCGCTTGGGAAAACCCGAAGAAGGGGTGGGGGTCGCTGATTCTCGAGCATTTGGAGTTCAACATGCCGACCCAAACGGAAGTCCAAGGACATGGACATCCACCGCTGAATGCGAGGCAATTATCGATCCCGTGGCTCGTTGCAGCCGTCAACAATGAGTGAGCTATTGGCCCGGACACCCCCGAAGATCAAGTGGAGCGGTATGTACGCGTCTATCTCATTGGATTGATTTGTGGATTTCTGTTCCCCGACAAGGCAAACCGGAAGATACAAGGCATGTGGTTGTCGTTGCTCCTAGGTGACTGGGACGAGATCGGGAGAAAGAGTTGGGCGTCAGCCATGTTAGTAGGGGTCCACCGCGAGCTGTGTACTTGCTCGAAGTTGGGAGCGAAACAAGCTGGTGGTGCGATGTTCATCCTCCAATTCTGGGAATGGGAGCATCTTCCGATGTTCGCACCTCGAGACCCGCGAGAATTCTGGTTGCCAAATGAGGAGCTACGAGATGTAGCAAATCCCCCCTGTGGTGTCAAGTAAATTTAATTTAATTTAGATTTATTCCAAGTATGCAATTTAATTTAGATTTAGATTTATTCCAAGTATAAATGTGACCTTAATTTAGATTTATTCCAAGTATGCAATTTAATTTAAATTTAGATTTATTCCAAGTATGCATGTGAACTTAATTTAGATTTATTCCAAGCATGCAATTTATTTAATTTAGATAAGTATGATTTTGATGTATTCCAACTATGCAATTTTAATTTAATTAGATTTATTACTTAAGTTGATTAAGTAAGTGTTTAGAAAACTATCACATGCTTAGCATCTATGCTTTTAAAAGTTCTTTTATGCGTATTTTTGCTTACAAGGTGGATCAGAGCAAATACAAACAACCACCAGCCTGAGAGCACTCTTTACTGTTTTATCGTGCTGAGTTTGATAAGCCTTGGTCGAACCAGGCACATATGTCTTTTGAATATTTTAATTTTTTAATAAGGAGTGGATATAGTTGGTACTAATTGCACGTTATTAACGAGTGTAGGTGACATGGGACCCATATCCAAATGAGGCGGTCGAGCTGCATCGTCTTAGACACCCCGAGGATCATGAGACGTGGTTGTTCAAGCTGCCCTTGATCTGTTGGCACATGGTGGAGTGGCACCTGCCGGTTGGAGCTTTGAGGCAATATCGATTGTAGCAACCAATTCTAGCATCCCCGCCTCAAGGGTTCAAGGAGCTCCATGCCATTGACCTACGCCATAAATCAAAGGATTGGATCCGCAAGCATGAGTTCTACATCAACATTTGGAGAATAGAGCAACTTGGGTGGTCCAAAGAATGTCGAAGACGAGGCCAATGGCGTACCACGATGGGTACATGCAGTGGTATCGAAAATTCACGTACAGATGAGGCAGATTTTTTAGGCAGGTACGTGGGGGATGGGTTATTTATAAGCAAACATCAACGCAAGAGTCCATTGCAGTGAAGTATTCACCGTCGTGACCTATTGAGGTGAATACTAGGTCTTTGTGATCTAATTTTCTACCTACCAGGGCTGGAAAACGTGGTAAACAATCACCATTTTTTCACAACAGCGGTGAACGTATCGCTGTTTTTGTCCAACGCGGTGATTGGTTCACTGTCTTGGACCACTGCGGTGAATAGTTTCACTGTTTTTGTCAAACGCGGTGAATAGTTTCACTGTTTTTGTCAAACGCGGTGATTAGTTCACCATTTTCCTTTATTGCGGTGATTCTTTAACTGTCTTTGTTCGTTGCGGTGATCTATTTCACTGTCTTGGTCCATTGCGGTGATGTGCAAATATACGTATTTTGAGAATTATTTTTATAACTAACCTATTTTAATAAATTATTTTAATAACTAGTGTATTCTGATTTTCCCCTCCCTCTATAGTGATCAATACTAGTAGCTACAAAGAGAATAACAAGAATCATTCGAAAATCTGGAGGTCACCGTGGTCAGATTTAGCTAAAGCCTCGTCACAAAATTGTGTTTCTCTACAAGTTTGCTCTCCTAGCTTCTCACTTGAAGGAATGAGATTATTCGAATGTGAGATTCTATTAGAAAATATATGCATCCGAATCATCAATCCAAAAATCGAGGGAAACTGATTTTCATTGGAATATAATGGGATATTGGCTGTATTGTCTAAAACTAAGGGGTAGAGATGGCGGTTGGGGAAGAGGTTGGATGGAAGGAAGCAAATCAAGAGAGTGGAAATCGGTATGGTATTGGTATTTTAATATCAAATATCGAAAACCCGAATATTGAATTACATTCTAAAATCAATAACAATCTCAATTCCTAAATAATTTTGGTATCCCAATCCCAATCCCTAAATATTTCGGTATTCCAATCGGTAGTTCGGTATCCCAATCGATATTATAGAATACGAAATTAATTACATTTGTCATTAATAATTAAATATATAAATGAGATTTCATTGTTTAATTTAGGACAAAGAGACTAAGCAAAGAGTTGAATTTGCCTAGAGCTAGGATATGAATAAGGAGAATGGAGGAGATGTGACAATTCAAATTCTTGTCATTGGTAATCTTTAATTTGACGAATTGGAGGCTAAGAGACGACTAATACTAGTGTTTGTCTTTTTGTGTTATGAAAATAACAAGAGATTAGGTGAGAGACGAGAGTGACTTAAACTGGAAAGTCAAGATTGAGTTGGATGGGGGCTTCTAAATTATGAAAGAGTAAGGAATGACCAAAGGTTGTGTATTATATTTGATTAATTTTTAATTTTTGGTATTTCTCGGTATTTCAGTACATACCGATCCCAATTCCGTAATTCCGAATATGGAATAGCAATCCAATATGAATCACAATCTCTAAAAAATAAACCGGTAGTCGGTAATACCAAATAGTGATAAATTTTGTATAGTATTCGGTATATCTCAAATACCGGTACCAAACTTCTGGCTTAGTTGAAGTGGTGGGTCTGGGAGAGGATCAAGGGTGGTGGCAGAATAATGGTGCTGTTTGTTAACCAAGCATTGTGCTGTGGCAAAAAGTGGGACTTTACCAGTGGTTATCAACTTATCGTATATTCCTTTTTTATGTCAATTTCTTCTCCAAAAGATTCACAACTAAGGCAACTTTAGTGATACCTTATGGTATATGGTCATTAGGGCATGAAATTTAATTTGGTATATGAAATTTCTATCTTCATAACTGCTGCCACTTATCATTTCTTACCCCCTCTATGAAAAGAACTTGAGAGGTTACTTATGATGCAACAAGAATAAGTTATAATGAGTGACAAGTACTCGTACAATGTTCATTAATACCCGTTTGAATTATTGGAATGAATTGTTTCTTTGTTTTTGAAATAATATCAAAATCTCTCATAATCCGAATATTTTATATACAAATTTGGATAAACTATATACGGAAAATTAGATGTGCTCAATTTTTTTTATAACAGATCTGCTCAATTTAAGAACTCAAAAATTTCCAATTTTTTTTTCTGGAGATCATTATTGGCATATTACCACTACGTTAATTTTTTTTCCCTTCAAGTAATAACAAGAGAGATCATAATCATTCTCATATTACCACTCAATCAAATGAAACTAGCTCTAAAGAGACATCATTAGAGTTTTACGAGCTACTCTATGAATAGCTCAATTGGCAGTCTGCGAAATTGTGAGGATAAGAATTTGTCATCCAGCCAAAGCATTGTCTGAGAATGTTTGCATGTGGTGGCGACTGGCGAGTGCTCATACAAATTTGGAGGCAGAAGGCCCAACTCATCGAGCGCGACATAATTGGGCCGATCCAATCTTACTCGTCAGGTCCAAAACGCCGGGGCGGGAAACCGGTGCGGGTACGACGGAGCATCAGTCATTCGTAGCGGGGAGACTTCTACGAAGGTCGTCAGTGCTCAGTAGTCTCATTTCTCCTCACTTCTCCAGAAAATGTCGCCCGATACATAGAGAGAGATTCCGAGCGATAGATTCGTGTTACGAGCGGAGCGGAGCGGAAAGAGATAGAAACAAAGAGTCGAAGATAGAAAAGGAAGATGAAGAAGAAGAAGAAGGATTTCGGAATTCTTGCCCTGCTCATTCTCTCTCTTCACTTGCGAATCAGTTTCTCTTCTGGTAATAACTTGTCTCCTTTTCTTAAAATCTTCGTTAGATCAGCAGCCCGAAGAGGTGAAGAATTAGGCGTTAGTATGGCCTCATAACTAGATGTGATTTGGTCTGCTTTGGATTTTGACAAACCTGAATTGGGGTTATGCGGGGAGTTTTCATTTCACTTGGATTCGCTTTAGATCGCTAGCTTGATTCCTCAGGAGGGTGTTTAGTATTCTTCTGTTTTCTTTCTGGGTAATGATCTAGGTGTCAAAAGACGGGGACTTTGAGCTAAGATTCTGTTGTTTGATTCTTTTCACTTGGTTCTTAGGATTTGGTTATTCTATAGTGCTAGATATAACTTGATCATTGAAATGGTGATGAAGAGTGTTTGTAGTGGTCTGTAATTGAATGATATAAGGATGGTTTAGCCACTTGAAAGTATGAGTAACGGATCTACTTGAAAAGCACATAACTAAATCTTCAATTTTTTTTTGTGTAGTCCAGATTGAAGCAAAAAAAAAAAAAAAAAAAAGGTTTTGGTTTACTATAGACATTGGCTTCTTCGAAACATGTATTGGATTCGGGAACTTTGCATATATAGCATTAGACTTTGCTTTTGGTTCACTGCAGAAATACTTGGTTATTGAAATGGTGAGAGTGTTCGTTATGGTCTAAAATTGAACAGTTAAGTTTCAGTTATCCCCTCTTGAGAGGCTTTTGAACTTTGCATTTAGGATTCCATACCTCTCCTTATATGGTGTCAATAGTGAGAGGGTTTTGTGATGGTCTGAATTCTAATAGTTAAGGTTCAGTTTTCCTCTTGATAATCTATAGTGCCTTGGGAAGTTTGCATTTGGGGCTCTATTCTTTTTCTTAAATATTAGTGGCTATGATTGTTTAGTTCTTGGATCATGGCTATGATAGTTAGGAAGTCAATATCTATAGCTCTTACACATAAAAACAATGTCTATAGCCAGAGAGTTCAGCCGATTTCTGTAAGGTGGGTGAACTCACATGACATATGCCTATAATTTTCTGTTAATGCCTGCCTGCAGGGAAATCAGAGGGGGTCTGTGTCTCTAAAGGTGGTCGTTTCCCACCGTACTCAACTGAAAGCCAACCTCCTAAAAAGGTAAGCAAGGGTCCCAGAGATTTGACCCTTTGCAGGGTCTTTCGCAAAAAGACTTGCTGTGATGTAGCTCAGACGTATCCTGCTTTGCTGTCCCTTAGGAGGCTGGCTTCAGTGGGGGAAGCCAAAGAATCATGCTTGCAGTTATGGGAAGCCTTGGAATGTTCGATTTGTGATCCGTTAGTCGGTATCCAGCATGGACCTCCTGTTATATGTGCTTCTCTTTGTAACCGAGTCTTTCAATCCTGTGGCGATGCTTACTTCTCCATGGATTCCAAAACACGGGTATCATTTCCTGTCTTAAGTATCCAATAACATTTTCTCTCAAGTATCTAATAGCATTAGAACTCATCAAATAATGATGAAATCAGTCTAGGTTCTATCTGAAATAAGTTGGCATGGTAACAAACCTTTAGGGTTTGTTGCCTTGAATCCATCAACTAATGAATTTAACCGAAATCTCTCATTTGGATGTTTTTGATGGTGGGGGATTTTGGAATAGAGAGATTGAAAAATATAGCTATTGGATGGATTGGAAATATCACCTTGAGTAGGTCGTTTTTTAAAATCTCTCCAATGTTGGACAATTTTGTCCTGGTCAATTCACTAATTACAATAATTTCCTCCGAAAAGCATGAAAAGTGAGTGACAGAAACTAACGAGGAAATTAAAAAGTTGTACCAGTTGTAATGCCAATGGTGTCTTCTGGTCTCATTTCCCACAGGCCATCACTCACAATCCACTGGATAAGAGATATTCCATCTGAATAATTAATTTTCACAATTCACCACCGACAATCTATTTCAAAACCCATCCATTACTGTCTAACAAGTCATGCAGATTCGAGATAATGCATACTTTTCTTACTTTATTCTCTCAGAAGGATTGACAAAGAACATTTCCTTTCTTGCTCTTCCTGTCAGTTTCTAGCACCATGTGGAGTGAGCGACTTTCTCTGCGGTAGAGCTGGAGAGTGGGTGTCCAATGGAACAGATTTCTGCACTGCATTGGGTTTCAGCGTTGAAGTTGCCGAGCATTCATACCATGCTGCCAATCAAGCTTCTTGCTATGGTGGTAAACGCAGTCTTGATCACATTGCTGATTCGTGGACTCAACCAGAGATTCACCAGAGACCAGTCAGTTCGAGATGGTCAGAAGGTTTCCAGCTAAGGGTGCTGGAGATGTCATTTAGTGAAAAGGTTTCTTGGGCTGTTGGAGGGATGGTTCTTACTGCAGGACTCTTGTTCGTAAGGTTAGATCCTCTTTCTTCCCGCCTTCTATATGCTACAAAGGTCTATTTGGGTTCCAAGATCGAGAAGTAATAAGCCACTTTACTTGGTGACCATTGTAGCAAAAGGAAGAGTTACAGTCGGCGTCAGAAGCTGGCGGCTATACAGAGGGCAGCTAGGAGACTGGATGGAAAGATGAACCAGTCTGATGTGCAAGGGAAAAGAAGAGGGAATCTAAGATGAACGTTTCATCCAAATATGAGCTTGATCTTGGGTTGAGTACTATGGTGAGTCATCATACTACTGTAATCACATAAATACCTATTTCGTTGGTCTTTCGATTAGTTCTTGATGTTCGTCAGCTGAATACTTTCTCCTACATCGATTTACTGCAAAATGGGAAGTTCTTAGAACATGCTTCCAACTACTATGCCATTCATTAATTATTTTGATTGTCAAAACTAAATCACTCTGGAATCAGAGGATCTGACAAGCACATGTTTTACATCTTTTGCAGCTTTCTCTGGCTCTCGGATTTGCTTTTCTCCAGACCATTCTACAAGCTGTCTGCTGGAATTTCAGAATCGCCTAATGCGAGGATTATTCAATGCTTTAAGTTGCAAAAGAACCCGGGGGATGTTTGTCAGGCTGTTGTACAAAAGAAGACATGGTTGCCATTTCCTTGTCAACCACCATAGTTGGTCTCTTTGACAATAGATTTTTGCTCCGATGGCTAGAATAGTAGCATGAGAATGAGGCCTCTTATTGATCTCAGCTTAGTTTCAGAATATTGGTTCTGCTGCATATATTGCCGATCTATGAAGTATGATTTGGGGCCAATTACAAAAACAGTAGCTCTAAACTTTTTGGTCACTAAACGTTGATTGTTTAACGATTTTTTCACTAATAGGATTGTGTGGACGAAAATGAACCGGAGTGACTGACGCTAGTTGCTTCAACGTCTTACAATATCTGCAGTAAATTGGAGAAGGAAAGGACTCCCCAAAAAACAATTTTACTTGTACAAACATACACCAGAAAAGAAAATTTCAAGGGCAGGCTGTTTTTCTTAATCCCTTTTAAATTAACTTTACAGACAGCAAAATGCTAATTAATCCAAAGGAATAACAAGTTACAGAAGAGGTTATACAGCTCAAAAAGAGAAGAAAAACAAAGAACATAGCTATGTGTATGTGGGTTTAAAAAGAAGAGAGCTTCTTTCTTCTGTAAGCCTGAATTTCTGGACTCCAAGATCTTCTCCTAATCACATTCGACAGTTAAGTAAAACTCCAAATCTCCGTTCTTGTTCTGTATCAAGCTTTAACTAGTTTTAGGAGGCTGCCCAAAACCAATGAAAAGAGGGTAAAATTCTTAGTCAGATTGCTTTTTTATTTTATTTTTATAATTGTTAGATCAGATTGATTTCATATGCTCATAAGGTAAAAGAGAAAAGGAAAGAAAGAAACAGGTGAATGTGGAAATTTATATACCTTCTTAAGGGGCTTTGAACTGCTGCTTGCTGATAAAGCTGGTTTTAGTATCTCAAAGGAACAAACCAGGGATTCGTCGACGCTCAATAGAGCACCCGCATTGTCAAACTCCCCACCATAGTTAGGAGCAGAGAAGATCGTAACCAATCGCCGCTGAGCAAAGAACTCGTACCCATCTTCCACAACCTGCAGATTTTTAAACATGACAAATCTGAGAACATGGGGCATGCTTGGTTACTATTCACCTGAGAGAAACTTGCAAACAGCAACAGATTGGTTTCTGAAAACAAGCAGGCACATAAATGGAAACATACCAATCACTTTGTCCATTTGTATAATATTTTTCATCCAAATTTGCCATGCTAACGTGCCAACTTCTTCTGACATCATCAAAAGTTCTTTTGAAAATCGATTTTAATGACCCAAATTAGTTCAGTGGTTGTCTAGCTAATTGACCCTTAAGAGAGGTGTCCAGTGGCTGTACAGTTAGGTAAAAAAAGAACAAAGCACCTAACAAGTCTTTGTAATACTTCCAAACGACTCTTGAGATAAGATATTCAATAACAAGCGTTCTTAACCTTGAGCTGAGCTCATATATTCCACATATGGGGGGCCAACGTTGTCTTACAATCCAAGTTTCTCAGAAGCAATCCTTCATTCTTCTAAACTCCCCATTCCTTGTCAACAACACGGCTTTACCACTAAACTCTCTCTAACCTAACTCATCCCCAAATGATCATGCAACAACATAGACATATTCTTCAAAACTGAAAACTAGACCAAGAGAGGAATGAAATTCTTACCTGATGTCCTCTACATATAAGATCAAGATCATTCTTATCAAGAAAATCAGCAACTCTATCAGCTCCAAACGTGCACGAAACCCCTCGATCACTATCCCCCCACCCTTCATTCGTTGGATGTGGATCAGACCAAAGCAAATCGCAAAGAAGACCGCTATCTGGAATCTCGGTTGGCCTCTCAATCTCTCTTATCTGATCCAAATTCTCCAAGTCAGGCGATAACCCTCCATGCATGCAGAGTATTTTCTCGTCAATGAGAGCTGCCACGGGCAAAGAGTTGAAGCAGTCGGTGAATATTTTCCAGAGTCGGACGTTAAATCTCCTCTTGCATTCATCGTAAAAACCATATATCCGGTTTATCTTTGCGTCCTCGTGGTTGCCTCTCAATAGGTGGACTTTGTCAGGGTATCTGATTTTGTAGGCAAGGAGGAGGCATATGGTCTCCAAACTTTGCTTCCCTCGATCGACGTAGTCTCCTAGAAAGAGGTAGTTTGCAGAAGGAGGGTACCCTCCATATTCGAATAGCCTCAGAAGGTCTTGGTATTGTCCATGTATGTCACCTACAAAGATGTGGGATAAGGAAATCATTGAATGCTCAAAACCACGGAACTTCTGATCATGATTCAAGATTGCAAAGTAAACATATCTCCATCTCCTGCATTTGCAATCCATCCAACCTAACAATCTTCTATTATGAAAGTTCCCGAATCCTAGACAACCTGTTAGCCTGCTTATCTTTCTAATCAGAAATGAGAGAGACCTAATTTGAAAGTATTAACATAATTTCACAATCACATAGCTGTACTCATTCTCTCTATATTCAATCAACCAATCCCAATTTGGATTACATCAGGCCACTTAATAAGGCACCGCCCCTCAACAATTCATCTTTCATAACCATAATCGTTGACCGCCCCCCCGGAAATAATCACCCCTATCCAATTACCAATTGCACCATCTCTTCCTTGTGCACACTATGAACACAAATTCATTGTCGAATTCTCAATCAGCTGAACCAGAATCAAACCTAATCTGCAAATCCCAACCAAATCAAAGAAAAACAAAAGGGAGATGGAAGTTATACCGCAGATGCGAATTGGAGCTTTGATCTCGACCAAATTAGGTTGGGAGAGGAAAATCTGGCGAGCATTAACGCACAATTGACGGATCTCCGACTCCGATAGCTGAACCTGCTTCCCTCCTTTTCCTTCCAACAGCCTCCTTATGATATCCTCCAGTACTCCTTTATCCATCATTCCCTCCATCGTCATCATCATCATTTTCCTTTCTGCTCGCAACCCACTTCCCGAAATCCCACCAATCAGCACGGCAACCTCTCAAGATTAAAATTTTGCGCAGTGATATGAGATGGGTACGGCCTAATTTTGACCCACGACCTCAAATTTTTCCAAAGAAGAAGAAGGAAAAGAAAGGAAGAAACTTATAGAGAGAGAAAGAGAGAGAGATTTAGGGGGAAATGTCTTTCATTTACACCATGAATTATCTTTCTTCTTCTTCTCTCCGTCCATGATTGACAATTCTAATATTCTATTTTTTTCGTTTCGATGACTTGATTTCCTCTGTTTGTTTTTTCTCTGTGGGGGAAGGAAATGGAAGGAGAAGTGGGAAGCTAATTATCTGAGCCAACTGCCAAACAGTAATTGGGAAACTCTATTATCCAATAATTATTTGTATTGGGAAAAATATGAATGATTGACCAGAGGTTGAAATCTTCAAAGGGGAGGGAAAGGAGTGCGATGTGAGAGCAAGCAAGGAGAAACAGAGAAAAAGAAAGGCGACAGCACAACATACAAAAACACAAAACCGCGTTTTTCAAAATTCGGTTACGAAGTTGGTTTTTCCTTTGCCACCTTATCCTGAATCCGTGGGCTTTCGTTAAAGTTTGAACTTCGGGCTAAGGTTGGTTTGCTCCTTGAACTGGAATCGTGGAGTTGAGACCTAAATCTCATACTATAGCTCAAGTTTAATCATACTCTCTACCTTAACGGCTTAACCTTGTTCAAAACGGGTAAGATGCTAAGAGATTTTAATTAGGGCTGCAAATGAGCCGAGCTGCTCGCGAGCGGTCGGCGTTCGACTCGAGAAAAACTCGTTCGAAACTCGGCTCGTTAATAAACGAGCCGAACACGAGCTCACCTTTGTTCAGCTCGTGAAGCTCGCAAGCTAGCTCGACTCGGTGGCTTGTTGAGCTAAACTCGTGAGCTGGCTCGTTTAGAGCTCATGATATGTCTTAACATGTGGCTAGAGAGCCAACTCGATTACCAACTTATGGACAAATCAATCTATATCTTATAATTTTAATTCATATGGTTGTTAATTTATATATCTCACCATATATAAAGTTTTTCACGTAGAGTATGTGAGCAAATATATCTTATTTTCTGCTTTAAAAAGAAATTATGCATCATAGATTGCTTCGATACAATGAAATAACATGATTTGGAGTAGTTAAAATTTATTAACTAAACGATATATGATATCAACAAAGTATAAAGTATAAGATGAGATTAACTAACAAAATAAATCATATGTATCATGATATACAAAATAAAGTACCAAAGTTAAGATTTTAATAAACAAGCTAGCTCGAACTCGACTCGACTAGGCTCGTTAATAAATTTCCGAAACCGACCCGACCAACGTGGCGAGTCTCCTCTCCGGTTAGCCGCCACATCATTAGCCTCATGTAGCTGCTCGCGCCCTAAAATAATGTCCGTAAACAACAAGGTTGTCAACCCGCGGGTTGACCCGGACCCGGTTGAGCTAGTGGGTCAAGGGGTAATGGGTCACCCGTTTTAGCTCGGTTTTAGCCCGGAAATATGGAAAGCTTCATTATATTCTACTTATCCTGATAAATTATATCAAATCTCATCTAACATATGAGTTATAACATATAATATTACACCAAAATAACATTTTGTACTTAGATTCAACATATAGTGAAAATTTACACACACTTATATAACATTAATATTCAAATGTTCAATTTAGGATTCCAAAGATTGAGTTAGGCGAAAAGAAAAATCGGAAAATAGGCGCATTTCGCAAAACAAAGAAAAAAATGACACAATTTGACCTCCAACCCGATACCTTATAGTGGTCGATCCAACGGATGCGTGCGGCCCGTTCTTTTCATCGGATCAGGGTCAAAGTGGGTCAACCCGCGGGTTGACATCGTTGGTAAACAAAAAACATTTTGTCGCCAATTTCGTTGTTTCCTTCCCCGTCGGCTCCCCCCAAGATATAAATATGAACCAGTTAGCCACAGGAAATTCAACAGCAACAAAACAAGCGGCCACAATCTAGTATGCTGGTTTTAATCTTATATTCGGAAACAATCCCCGCTGATATTTTCGTCGGAAAAGCAAAGGGAACTTGCCGGAGAAAGAAATGGGCGAGGGCGGCAGCGGCACGTTCGAATCAATCAGGGACTGGGTCACCGAGCACAAGATGAGATCCGTCGGTAAGACTTCTGCCATCCTCTTCTCCCTGTCAATATCAGGTTTTCCATTATGGGTAATTGGGGATTTGGTTACTGATTTCGTTTTTGGGGGAGTTTTGTTTGATTGATTGATTGGTTGAAGCTTGCTTGTGGGCGAGCGGGATTGCTGGCTCGATAGCGTACAACTGGTCGCAACCCAACATGAAGACCAGCGTCAAGATTATCCATGCTAGGTAATAAAAGTTTCGAGCTTTAGCGTTTGTTTCTTTTCGGGTTTTGGGTTATTTGTTCTTGATTGTGATTTGTGAATGTGGTGATGTTTTGGGTTATCTCATCAACCGAGAAAATCAACCTTTTTTCATGTATTCATGAGGATTTCTCTAGTAATGTAGATTGTAATAATGTTGATATTTTTTTTTTGTTCAGATCAACCTAATGTTGTCCTGTTTTTGCTGTGCAAAACTAAATATTGTATTAAGAGCCCAGCTTAACATATTTCAGATAAATTATTGAACAACAATTATGATCTGCCGCCAAGTTAAATGTTCAGGGAGAGAATGTACGTTGATGGTTGAGACTGGAGAATTCAGCTTCCTAGAATTTTCTAGAGGTTCTATCAGCTTTGGTGAATATCGATCGAATAGCATTATGCCCTGCCATGATTGAAATTGTTGGGAACGATACCAGAGTTTAAGGAGCACAATTCAGGTAGCAATTCCCTTCTTAATTCCTGAATGTTTGAGAATCTAGCAATGAGTCTTCACTTTAACTTGTTTGTGAATAACTGCAGGCTTTCGCCAAGTCGGTTCAGTGATAAAAATGTTGGTAGGCTATCTGTGGCTTTTTCCCTCATTCATTGATAACTAAAGGTGTTAAATTGGTGGAATAGAATGTTATCGACTGCTGCAACTTGTAAAATTAGTTTGGTCATCGAACCGCAGCAATGGTATGGTGGCTGGCCAATCTTGCACCTACTAGGGATTTCAAACCACAAATGCATTTGTTATCCCATTTTCTCTTTATTGATTCCCTTTCTAGCTATTGATCATCTTGACGTGGGCAATTGTTATGATGGCTGCTGTTGATCTTATCATCTTATGCAATTTCTCCCTACTGTTTGATCAACATTTGTGACCCTTTGGTCTTCGAATCACAGGCTGCACGCGCAGGCTTTTACGCTGGTTGCTTTGGTTGGTGGTGCTGCGGTTGAATGCTATGAACGTAATCAAAGTGAAACTGCAAGAGCGAAATGAGTACTTGAGTTTGCAAATTTCCAGGCAGAGTGGGGGCTCAAATGACAAGTAGTATATTGTTCTAGTCCTAACGGTATCGCCGTTGGTTGAAGAGGGTCACAGTTTCTTTTCATTTCTTTGTTTCTAATCTATTCGTACATTCGAGCAACATATGTACTGTATATTTTACTCTTCCAGTCCTTAATAATAGTTCCACCCTCCATTATTCCAGTTGCTTCAACCGCTGGAGCTAGAACAATTATGACCATACCCTATCAAAGTCAATTCCCAATGGAGTCTTGAATCCTCTCTGTATTTTGTAATAGGGTGCATATCTTTTTTATATATTCAAGTTCAAGAATAGTAGATTTCATAAGATCGGTAGCTCAACAGCGGACTATCGCATTTTAATTTTGAATAACTTGTAATATATTGTCTACTATAATCTGACAATGGCAAACTATCTGTAGGGACGGGCCAAGAGTCAGTTCACACTGGTCTCGATTCCTCTGGTTTTCGATTTTCAGATTAAAAAACTTATTGCCTTAAGTTTCGTTGGTCCCAACCTCTCTAAGCCAAAGATGTTTGAGGGGTCAGGATCTTAGTCGGATTATACTCTAATATTAATATTGATTGTGCTCCTTATAGAAAATATATATATTATGTTGATCATGTTAACTAGAAACTAATACTATATAGATGATGTTAACTAGTTTTCTGCATGAGCCATAATTACTAGCACACATAATATGCTAGTCATTTTTCATTGAACACTTATCAAATATGAATCGATTCCAATAGTTTAAGGAATAAACAATACAATAAACAGAGACAGGCATAGAACATGTTGAAACAATAAAAGCTAGAAATTTGGCAAGAAAACACAAACACACATAGATAGAGCCATTGATTTCGCCATCAATCTCTCCGGTATGGAACTCTTTACAATGATGACAAGGGAAGTGGGAGAACATGATCAAACTCTTTTCTTTTCCTTTTCCCACCACCTTTTTGGGGTCCCTCTCTCTCTCTTTTTCCTTTCCCCCAACTGAGATAACACATAGAAGACAATTGATGAGCTCTGCAAACTCTGTTTGATCGAAGCCTTTGTTTCAGACCATGGCAGCAGCAGCAGCTTTCCAATTCATCACCCTCCTCTCCCATTGCTCTGTTTTTCCACTTCTTCTCCTTGTGACTCCATGTTTGTCATCCTCCTCTGGCAATAACAACAGTAATAAGATTCTGAAGAGATGCGGATTCGATGCAATCTACCAGCTGGGAGATTCCTTTTCAGATACCGGGAATCTGATTCAGCAGCACCCTGAATCATGGTTTGGTCGCCTGCCTTATGGAGAGTCGTTCTTGATCAAGAAAAGGCCAACGGGTCGTTGCTCCGATGGCTTGTTGATTGTTGATTACCTGGGTAAAAACTGTTATACTTGTCTCCCATCCATCCCATTTTTCAAAAGGCCAATATATTCTTTCATGTTCCTACTACGGACATTGTTTGAAATACACTGTCAAAACAGCTATCTCGGCTGGAATCCCACTGCTGGACCCGTACCTCGACCCGAATTCCAACATGGGTCGAGGTCGTGGAGTGAATTTCGCGGTTGCCGGTTCGACCGCTCTGCCGCTCGATGTCCTTTCGGAGAAGGGAATCTCTCCTCTGCTCACGAACACCACTCTAAGCGACCAGCTTGACTGGATGTTCACTCACTTCAACAGCATTTGTTACAGTGAACAAGGTTTTGTTACTAAGAAACCCCAAACCATTTCTTGGGTTTGATCTTACTTACGAGACACAAGTCTGACGTTGGGGTTTGGTGATTGGCAGATTGTGGCGAGAAGCTTAAATCCGCGCTTTTCATGGTTGGAGAGATTGGAGAAAGTGACTACATTTATGGGTTGTATCAGGGCCGAAAGATTGAGGAGGTGATGGAGATGGTTCCTGATGTTGTTGAAGCTGTAAAGAATGCAGTCACGGTATGTGCATGGTCCAGAGTATCCAGTCATTCTTTAGGTTTAGGTTCAAGCAACCGGTTTGAGTAGTGTAGTTGTTTGTTCCATCATATTTTACCTAACCAATTCATTTAATTTTGTCCTCGTAGAGAGTCATTACCTATGGTGCTAGACGCATAGTTGTTCCAGGAAATTTCCCATTTGGCTGTTTACCAATCTACCTCGCCAAATTCAAAACAAATACAACTTTGGCCTACGACGAGTTCAGCTGCCTGAAGAAGTTGAATAGCCTCTCGATCCTTCACAATGAACATCTCAAACAAGCAATCCAACTTATGAAGAAGGACAACCCTAATGTGACCATAATCTATGGAGACTACTACAAAGCTTACCAATGGATCCTCAACCATTCCACATCACTAGGTAAGGTCTCTCGTCGATGAAATAATTTTTATTTTACTCCAAACTCCAAAGAGTTTAATGCTTCCTTCCTTATAAATGACCATAGCATAATGAGGTAACCGTGATTTTTCATGTGATTTTGCATAACGCATTACCCCTTTTAATCTAAACCTAGTACCGCAACTATATATTCCAATTTCATTATTGATTGGGATATATATTAAGCGATATTCCAAAACTCTCATTAACCAGACACTAGCAACAAAAGAAATATCACATCCACTCGACCTTTTTATTTCCTACCAAATTCGATATTCTAATCATCACCTATTCATTTGCAAAATCCAACTAGTTTACTTTACCTATGTTTGTCTCTCCCTTGATTATCTCGTTGAAGCATATTACCATTTGGTGAATCTTTTCATGTAACGTGAAAAAAAAATACACACACACAGGTTTTAACGCAAGATCATTGCAAAAGGCGTGTTGTGGAGCTGGAGGCGACTATGGATTCAACTCCAAGAGAATGTGTGGAGCTGCCCGGGTGCCGATTTGCCCAGACCCGAATCGGCACATTAGTTGGGATGGACTTCATCTTACCCAAATGGCTTATCGGAGAATTGCATCCAAGTTTATTGCCGATATCTTCCCGCTTCTTCATTGTCCTTGACTTGTTTCATACAGTTTTGACGTATCTCCAAGTACATAACCAAGTTTGCGCAACTAGGACTAAGATAAAAATCGATAACTGATAAGATCGATAATTCGATGCATAATAGTTGAATCACCCTCCGCAATCATAGTGATCATATATGCGTAATAGAGTTCAGGCACTATTTCAGACTCAGTTACCATTCAAGGGGTTGTCATTGAGACTAACAATTCTAATTGGGTTATAATTAGGGCCGAAAGTTTTGTACCGGTATTTGGGATATACTGGATATCGTACCGAATTAATCTATATTTGGTATTACCGAAGACACGTATTATTTCTTGGGATTAATATTGAGATTGAATTTAAATTGTAATTCGGTATTAGGGATTACGAGATTGTGATCGGCATATACCGAAATACCGATCGATACCGAAATATAAACTAGTTTGTATATTTTTATCCTCTCAACTAGACTCTCTCATTCACTACTACACGACTCTCAACCACCAAGAGTGTCATTTAATTATACGTAGATCATTTCATCTTTGTTTCACAACTCAAAAGTCCCAATCCAACTCAATTTTGACTTCCAATTTAAGTTACTCTCATCTCTCACCTAATAACTTGTTATTTTCATAACACCAAAAAGCAAACACTAGTATTAGTCATCTCTCAACCTTCAATACCTCAAATTAAAGATTACGAATGACAAAAACTTGAGATGTCAAATCTTCTTCATTCTCTTTATCCATATTCTAGCTCTAGGCAAACTCAAGTCTCTTTGCCCTAAATTAAACAATCAAATCTAATTTATATATTTATTGGGAACTCCTATGGTAACTTGAAGTAAGGTAACTTGAATTTTTTTACCTGCTATAGCAGGTTTCACAGGTTGCATTACGTAAAATACAATAGGTATTACGTAACAGTTACGTAACGTATGGTAACCTTACGTAACAGTTGTAAAGCACCATTACGTAAGCCTTACGTAATAGACGGTTATTTTACGTAATGAATACTAGCATTGCATTACGTAAAGTGTAAAGTCATTACGGAAGCCTTACGTAATGCTGCTGATTAAACTATTACGTAAGAAATAACTGTCGTATGTAACCCTTACGTAATGGAAGGTCCCTTTTACGTAATGAGTATTGGTGTCGCGTTACGTAAAGAGCTAAGTCATTACGGAAGCCTTACGTAACGCTTCCATTTTAACTGTTACGTAAGAAATAACTATCATTCCGTAACCTTTACGTAATGGATGTGTATTTTACGTAACAGTTGTAAAAGGTCGTTACGGAAGTCTTACGTAATGAAAGGTCCCTTTACGTAATGAGTATTGGTGTCGCGTTACGTAAAGAGCTAAGTCATTACGGAAGTCTTACGTAACGCTTCCATTTTAACTGTTACGTAAGAAATAACTATCATTCCGTAACCTTTACGTAATGGATGTGTATTTTACGTAACACTTGTAAAAGGTCATTACAGAGGTCTTACACAACGTTTTTTATCTAACTATTGCGTACGAAAATAACACAAACATTGATCTATCCTAGTGGACAAAATGTTAATCATTTTCTAGTTAATGTCGCAGGTTCAATTCCCAATAGTGTTACTTTTTTACCTTTTATACATTTTCTTAACTTTAATAAATTAGTTTTATGAAGTTAATTTAACAATTTAGCCTCACTCTTTATTATACATTTTAGTTTAATGAGTTAGCTTAAATTGATGAATTAGTTTCTCATCGCTAATTTTTAGCATTTTCAATTGATGTTTAAAGAAAGTTCTTCTGAACTAAAAATTGTGGTTATGTTCCTGTTACATACTGTGAATTTAGCTTGAATGGTTGATATTACGATATTCTCTATTTAAATCTAAGGTGCCAGTGATTGTAAACTTAGAATAAGCAAAGTTGGAAACTATTTCTTTCATCTTCAGAAGTCATGTTGAGTTTGATAACGTGATTTCTTATTTCATTGTCATTAGCAATTACTTGGTTCTATTATAGCGATATGGTTTATTTTTAATTTATCTATTTGATTGGTACATCCAACCGATATGATGTAATTTTACCAACATTATTTACTATCTTTGTCTCGCTATCTTAGTTGGTTGTATATTTTTCATGAACATGATATCTGTGTATAACGTATCTATCATTTGAACCTACTTGGTTTTTATCGTCTTTAACTATTAATGGTTAACAAATGAACGTACAAAACAAATTGATTGAGCGAAAGACATATTTGAGCTTGATGTGTGGGCTTGACCAGTTCGAGTGTTTTATGTCTAAACGAGCGAGTTGGTCGGTTTTGGATTGTGGTAAGTGATTGTAAACTTAGAGTAAGCGAATTCGGGAACTATTTCTTTCATTGATTAGAAGTCACGGGATCTCACTGACCAGATAACGAGTCAGCATCTTGGGGCGAAGCCCCGGGTTAGGAGCTGGGGGTGCATTGTTCCAACCATGTATGCATGGCCTAATCTATTTTGAGTTACAAGTCACGGTTTATATGGTTTGACAAGTGGAATAGTACGACCGGTGGTACAAAAATGTTTTGTCGGTTCATCCCGATTTTTAAAAATGTGAAAATGATTAATATCCGAACTATTTAATCATATACAAAACATATTTGTGACAATTCACTTACAATCCAACCAATACCATCAACTTTTAACTATTAAATTAAAAAAACGAATAATAAATTAACTTGTTTATTAATTAAATGCATGAAAACGATTTTTTCTTAGAATTTATAAGTCGATTATTCCGGTCATACCAGTGGTGTCACGTCGATTTCATTAGATGCACAGATTGAACCAGGTTCAACCGGCCGCATCGTTTTGATGTGAGGGGATTTAGAAAAGTGAAAAACAAATTCTTGCTGCCGTTTTGTTGTACCTGTCAACCTTGGTCTTTCCTTTTTTTTTTCCAAGGCAAGCCCAAAGGGCATGGGACAAAAACTCGACACAATTACAAGACTGACTCCAAATAAATACGTTAGTCTGTATGCAACCAGACTACGATGAAAGAGCCTGTTAAGCCACTACTTGGCCGCTCTGAAGAAGCTCCGAGGAGCAAAGACACGACACTGACGGGGAAATAAAACAAAAATACAAACCCAACATCTCCACGATAGTCCCGCCAGCGAATGTAATTTCCTTCAATGGAGTATGCCGGATGATCGGTATCGAGTTGCAACAAAAATCCACAACAAAGAAAATAAAGGGATATTAGCAATCTTCGACAGAGAAAGCTTAATTATTCTCATAAATTTGTACGAATAAGACTAAACTATCACCTGATAGATTGATGAAACTTCCTTCAATTACTTTCATACCATATGAGCACCTGAAAATGACCAACCAACAATGCACGACTATGTGCTAGAAACCTCTGTCTAAAGAGATAAAAGTCTACCGATGAGACATAATCGGGATTACCGAATATACCACACCAATAATGTGATGTAGTCACCAATATGAACTAAAAGAGGGAAATTAAGAGCAAGGTAATTACACTGATGGTAGTATTAATTTTACAAAAAATTAAATCAAACAAAAATTATTCCAATAACATAAATAACGAAAATGTGAAATTCAAACAGGCAATAAAAGGAAAAGAATAGCCATAGACACTACCGAGACAGTTAAGGCTATTTTAAATTATAGAAATTAGCAAGCTAATTAAATAAGAGATTTGATTGCAATTATACTCCGCCAAGACAACTAAGCAACTGAGCTTAAATTACTCTCAGAAAGATTTAAAATTAAATTGGATAATGACTCCAAAATGGGTTAATGCAGAAATCACTTTTGAGAAATTAATACACATAGAATTTGAGCCAAAATGGGTTACTGCAGAAATCACTTTTGAGAAAATTTTCCTTTTGTTGCCGTTTCACTTTTGTGGAATTTACCCAATTAATTTCCATCTCCATCGAGTGAAAAAAAAAGGAATGTCAATCAAAGTTGACTCTTCTCTATCTCCTTCTCACGAACCCTAGCTCTGCATCACAAAGATCGGCGGCGCGGCAGGCTCGGCGACGGTGAGCCAGGACGGTGCGGCAGGCTCGGCGACGGTGAGGCAGGGCTGGCAGGCTCATCAGGCGGCAGGCTCGGCCGCAACGAGGATTCCACAATACTCAGTCGGAAATTCACCCATCATCTACTCCCGCTTCAGTTTCTCGCATAAGCTCTGAACCATCAAACCCGGTGTCATCGCCCTTCCCAATCTCCTCAATTGTGGCGTCCGTTGCCATTCTTCCGTCAATCTCGAGGTGAAGGGTCTACTTAGCCACCACTTCTCCTTGTAGTTCTTTCGCTAACTCAATCTTGACGGGAGAAGAAGCAATTTTTAATTCTCCCTTGTCGCTGCTCTTCTTGATCGGCAGCTGTGGTTATCCGATCAGATGTTTGTTGTTTTCTCCCCTGTCAAATGAAAAGAAGTGCAGTTTTTTGTTGTACATGTTTTCATAAAGAAGCACTTTTTTTTTAGGTTGCTGGTTCTATTGTACATGTTTGCTGCAATTTAGTTGGATACAATGTATTATTTTTGATGTTATCTGGACTCTTGGTGCAGGTGCTTATGTCCACAATGAGTGAATATGAGAAAGTTGAAAATGATGATATGCCTTCACAGGAAAAACACACAGATGAAGATGTCAATATCCCTCAAACTTTTGATCAAGCTATATTAGCTTTAGTGTTCGAGACCTTGGAAGATGCTGAATTCTTTTACAATGCCTATGCAAAAAGAGTTGGGTTTAGTATTCGGAAGCGAGATTGTCGAAAATCACGTGATGGCAAAATGCTAATGCAAAGATGGGTTTGTGCAAAGGAGGGCCATCGGCATCAAGTGTGGTTGGACAAATATGATCGTAAACGCAAGCCGCGTCGAATAACTAGGGGAGGTTGTGAAGCAGAATTTCGCGTGAATTTGGATCATGATACTGGGAAGTGGGTTGTGAAGAAACTAATATCAACTCACAACCATAACTTGGTTTCATCCAAGCGGGTCCATCTTTTGCGATCTCACCGTGAAATCAAAGAAAGTGATAAATCTTTCATCGAGGCATTGCATAGTATTGGAGTAAGCCCTCGTTATATAACTGAATTTTGCAAGGAGCAACATGGAGGATATCAGCATATGGGATTCACACCAAAGGATATAGAAAATGAAGTGCAAGCTATTCGAAAGAAAATGGTCCAAGGCGGTGATGCAAACACTACCATAGGATATTTAGAGGGGAGGAGACAAGCAGATCCGGAGTTTTTTTTCAAGTACACGGTGAAAGATGATGATAAACTTGGACACCTTTTCTGGGCAGACTCGGTGTCAAGATCCGATTATGCATTCTTTGGGGAGGTTGTAGCATTTGATGCTTGCTACCGGAGACAAAAGTACAACAACCCTTTAGTCATGCTTATAGGAGTAAATCATCATCACCAGAATTTGCTGTTGGGAGCTGCCTTTTTGAAAGATGAGAAGACTAAAAGTTACATATGGTTACTGCAGACATTTTTAGAGTGCATGGGAGGTAAGAAGCCATCGTCGGTCATTATAGATGGGGATAAAGCGATGCACCAAGCTGTAAGCCAAGTGTTTCCTAAAGCTGCCCACCGCCTTTGTTCTTGGCATATAGATCGTAATGCAGGTGATATGAAGCTTGGTGTCAAGTTTTTGCAAGGACTGAATTATCTTATGAAAAATAGAATGTCGATCAAGGAATTTGAGGAAAAATGGCAGCGATTAGTGACGGAAACTAACTTAGACCAATATTCTTGGGTGAAAGGTTTATATGGAGATCGTCATATGTGGTGCGAAGCTTATCTGAAAGGAAATTTTTTTGGAGGCATGACCACTACCTCCCGCTGTGAAGGAATGAATAGCACGATTAATCGGTACGTTAACCAGAACTTGAAGTTATTTGAATTTGTGAAAAGATATGAGAGGATGGTTGATAAGTTACGCTTCAACGAGTCAAAGGCTGACTTCATAGCATTTCATTCGAGGATGGTGTGCTCTCATGTCCTTCTTAACTATGAGCAGCAAGCTGAAGAGTTGTATACTCCAACCATTTTTGAACTTTTCAGAGAGGAACTTAGGTTTGAAACTAGCTATCTGTTATCTGAACCTATGACACAAGAGGGGGATATTGAGATTTTCAAACTCCACCAATGGTCAAAGCCTAGTCGGATAAGAACTGTGGAGTACAATACCATAAAAGACACAATTAAATGCTCGTGTTCGTTGTTGGAGTCAATAGGTATCCCATGTCGGCATATTCTGAATGTTATCAAGTTGAGAAAAATGCCTCGAATTCCTCAATCGTGCTTTATCTCGCGGTGGACAAAGAAGGCAAAAGGTTTGGGTTCGGAAGATGCAATCACGAGTTTGATTGATAGTAAGCTTGTTGAAACTATGCGCCATGGGGCTTTAGTTGCTAAGGGTTACAAAATTTTCCAGCTGGGTTCCAAATCAGGAGGGTGCTTCGATAAAGCTTCAGAAGAGCTAACTCGACTATCAACATCGCTTGAGAAACTCAGTGACCAAAACAAGCCTTGCCTTGTGAAAAGAAAATATGGGGATGTGGGAGACCCAGACATAGTGAAAACAAAAGGGACAGCACGTGTTGATCGCAATGTTAAAAAGAAGGAGAGAAAGTGCAGCACATGCGGTAAGCCTAAGCACAACAAAGCAACATGTCCAGAAGCATAAGGTATCCGTATGTTCTTCCTTCATTGAAATGCTTTTGCTTATCCCTCATCTATTTGCTAGCTTTGACTAATGCTAAGATTTTTGTTTTTTGATATTTGCAGGAGAGTTGAAAATAGAGTGAAGAGAAGAAGGGCGGGCAGAGGAACTTGCAATGTCTTGGGGAATTGCAGCAATCCATTTAGCATGTTTCTCTGAATTGGAATGACTATTTGATGGATTCTTAATTTTTTTAGTGGATATTAGTTGGATTGTTAGGAGTTCTTGATGTTATTCCCTTTAATTTGAGCCTAAAGTTTGGTTGAAAAAGATTGTGTTTCATGTTTTGGAACTGCAGAGGCAGCCCCTAAATGCAGAGTCAAAAGAAAAAAAATGCAGAGGCTCATGTTTTGGCACTGCAGAGGCAGTCCCTAAATGCAGAGTCAAAAGAAAAAATGCAGAGGCAAAGTGGATGGGAGAGTAAAACATGCGGAATTGACTTGTGGATAATTCGGGACTAACAAAGCTACACGGGAAAAGTTTAGGGACCAATTAAGATATTTTTCGTATAAAATAAAAAAAAAATTCCTATAACTAGGGTCGGGCGTCTTTTCCATCGCCATCCCCAGCCGCACATCACCATCGACTCCGGCCGCACAAAATTCCAGTCCAGATCCGGCCGCATCGCTGACCTCCGCCATCGCCAACTCGCTCTGCGATCACCCCTACTCCGTTTACCCAGAATCCCCTCGTCGTCGACATCATCACCACCGCCAGTCCTCTTCCTCTTCACCAGCACAAGTCGCCGCGTCTTCTCCGAATTCGCCGCGTCTCCTCCAACATCGCCGCGTCGCCGCGACGCTGCTCTGATTCCGCGTCGCTGCTCTGATCGCCGCGTCGTTGCTCTGCTCTGACCAGCAACTACGGAAAGCGGAGTTCGCCCTTCCGAATTCGCCGAATTCGCCGCGTCTCCTCCAACAGACAGCAAGCGAACCTGGAGTTGAAGGCTCTCGATTGGAAGCTTTTGCTTAGTTCTTCTACAGTCATGGCTAGGCAAGGAAGAACGAAACGAAAAGGAGCTGATCCTAATGGAAGTTCCAAGAGAGCACACATCAGCAAGGCAAAACAAGTGGTTACTCAGCCAGCCCTTCCATCGGAGAATGATGTCTCTTCCACCTTTGGAAAACCACAAATCCCAGCCTCAGCTAAGCAAAGGTTTGATTTTCTTTCTAAGCGTCAGGTGATTTCGTCTAAATTCTTTGATGATAAGGTGATAAGAGATGATGAAGTGAAGCAGAGAGTGTATGATTATTTGAAGAATCTAAGGTGGAGCAAGTTTACAGAGTTGCGCTTCAAGTCGTATCCCATCCTAGTTAGAGCATTCTTGGCCACTTTTGAGTTTGAGGACAAGGGTAGTTTCAGCAGACTCAAATTTGAATTGAATGGGCAGAAATATGATCTTAGTATAGTCCAAGTTCATAATGCCCTGAAGTTTGAGGGCATGACTTGTGGTCCAGCTCATAGTGATCTTAATGAACATGAATTTTGGAAGAGTATTTCCACGGAATCGAAGTTTACTTCTCGGACATCTCGCAGAACGGCTCTACATGATGTTGCTCTTATATACATCCATGAGTTCATATTAGAAGCTATCTTTGGCAGGGTGAATGATAAACCAGGGGTGCACAAGTGTGACTTTCAATTATTCTACAGCTGTGTTACAGGTCATTCATTCTGTTTGGGGTATTGGTTGGGCAAGTGTCTTCAAAACTGTGCGCAAAAAAATGTGGGACATATTCGAGTAGGAGGAGTGATTACTGCTCTTGCGGAGGCATATTGTGATTTCCCCAAAAACCCCATTGGTATTGAAGTAGCTAGAGGTGAGCTTACATGTAAGGAAGATACTTTTCGCCGGATGAACCTGATATACAAGCCTGTTCCGATGGAACCATACCAGCCGGTTCAAAAGGGCATGAAGGATGAGACACCAGAGACACCAGATCCTACTTCTACTGCAGATTTGTTCGAGGCTACCAATCCACCAGCTGCCACCACTATTTCTCCACCGTCCGCTTCACCACCAATCACCTACATCAGTCCCTCCGATCCATGGCAAGCCATTGAGCACACTCAACGTCGATTGGAGGAATTCTTTAGGCATACGGGCTATACTTGCAACATTGGCTCGTTCCAGCGTATTAATGATCCCGGGCAAAGTGCCCCACCACCATCCGCTTGAGTTGTACCAATCTCTGTGGGACGATAGTTTAGTTTCTTTATTACAACGACGCTATATATCCTTCCTTTTTCCCCGTTTAACAGTCAACCTCAATTTAAGAACATATGTTTGTCGTTACATATTTTTAAACGTTATATATGTTTGTCTTTACATGCACGTTATATAGGATCGAAATGTCCTTTGGTTATTAATTTATGTGAATTGATGCATTAATTTGAACAATATGGATGAAAAAATTGACAGGGATGAACAAAGCCAGTGCTACCTTGGTTATTCCAAAATCTAGTGAGAAACAGAATGATGGAAAACCTTACTCAGATGATATCTTCATCGAGATGCAGGTTTGTCCCCTTTCCTTTTTCGTGATACGAAACGTCAGCATCGTCCTTTGATGCTGCTTCATTACGTGTAATGTTGAAATTTGTGAATGATTGATAATTGCAGAAGGCAAAGATCCTGCGTGATAAGAAGCATGAGGTCAATGCCCAGAACTTGAAGGGTGCCTCTGATCAGGAACTGGTTAATCTGACAGAGGAAATGAACAAGGCATATGATGAACAGCTTAAACGCATTACTAAAATGGTACTTCTCCCCTTTCCCTCCTTCTCTTCACCTGTTCATGTATGTCTTACTCAGGTCAGGTAAATTACATCAATGGCTCATGCCACTAACAAACTGTTCATTGAACTTTAGACTAACTAAATTAACAACCATTCCATTCATCTGTGTCTTAGTTATCAATTGCACGAGTTGACCCGAAATCTTGGAAATGGGCAGAGTGACTGTTTCTTTTGGTAGTCCAAAGTACAAAGTCTAGTGAAAGACGTGGCCCTAAAACTCAGTGACGTTTATGCAGATTAAGCCTGCCCCATGTTTATCCCTTTAACACTACTGATGGTGTGAAATAGGTTGAGGAAAAGCTACGGGAGATGACAAGCAGGCTGGAGCAGCAGCTGGCAGAGGAGCAAGCTGCACGACTGAGGGCAGAGGAGGTTGCCCAGATGGCTCAGTTGCAATCCAACGATGAAATCCGTAAGCTCCGGGAGAACCTAGAGAGAGCTCAGAAGGAAACCGAGGAGCTCCGCAAGAAGGCTGAGAAGGTGTGCACAATCCTCTGATGCAATTAAGGGCAGTACACATTTTCTCTGTGTGGCTGATGTGTTTGGGAGATCTTGTTGCGTGGTCAAATTGGACTCGGAATTCGAACTCATGACTTTGGTTGAGGGCTAATGATGTGGTGATGTCTGAGATTTTTGTTCTGGTGTAAATATGATCTTTCAAATTTCTGGGGTTTATTGGCTCTGGAGTGCTGAGCTATGCATGCATGTCAATATATGCGGTTTGATGTGGTAAGTGATTTGCAGCTATGTCGCTGTTCGTATTAGCAAATCGATATTTAGCGAAGGCTTTTTCAATGGGTTCTGCAGATGGTGAACATGTATGCCTTAACTATAATTGTTATTAGATGCTGGTGATGAAATTGAACATATAGAAGAATTGTTTCACTGGAGAAATCAGCGGATTGTGTGAGATGAGGGATTTAGTGGTTCAGTCAACCCTAGTTTCTTTAACCTATTATTCGGCAATTAAAGGTAAACGATTTTATCAAAAAATATTTATGTTTTCAAAAGATTCCCGCAACGTAAACATTAGAGATCATTGATATAAGAGGTTAATTGGATGATAGATTAAGGTGAATGATAGTGTGCCCCTATCTTCCTGTGAGGAACTGGTCAAAAGCATCCGTTTGGGTGTGCAAAAAGTTGTGGAAATTGTGAAATCTCCCTTGTGTTAGCAATCCACTTCTACAGATCACTCATCCAAACCTATCTATTTGAAACTCATCCATTCCAACAGCCCATTTACTTTAGGATCCTTCATTCTAATGACCCCTTAGAATGTTAAGGTAATTCGTCACTGTGAGCTTTATGGCAAATCACTTCATCAATGGCATCCTTTATGACTATCGTAATCAAAGCCAAAATAAATAATCAACCTAAATCATTGATTTAAACATCGAACCAGCTGCTTTATTCATAGCTTTGAGATCGCGCAATGCCTTCCTTTGCTCAGCTGCATATTCCGGATCATTGCGGACAATATTCATAGCACCAAAGATATTATCCTCACGCTTCTTATTATTCTTATGCAATAACAACCAGCTTGCTATTTCTTTTCGTGCCTCTAAACCATGTGTCTTGGAAGTCTACATAAAATGACAAAACAAAAGATTAGTTGGACGAGAGTAGTTGCATAATACACATATGCCCAAGCTTATACTTACAACATCTGCAAGATTTGTTGGGCAATATCTCATGTATTGGATTACATGTACTCCACAATCTGTACTGTAAATTTAAAAATTTACAAAAAACCCATGTTAGAGTACAAATGAGGAAAATAATTATATTCCAATTTTCAAGCAAAAATCTGTACGTAAAAGTAAGCTCTTACCCATTGGGTTGTCTTTCGACAGCTAATGACTTCACTTCAAGTGTTACGAATGATGGTATAATTGTTTCGCTTTTGGTTCCAAAAGTTTCATGGTGTAACATTTCATCCAACGCTAATAACTATATACAAAATGTAAAAGAAACAATAAATTAGAATAAAAAGGCTATAAATACTCATGCATAATAATTGAACATTCAAAGTTGATATACTTACTATTTTTCTTATATTGTCTTTATGGGGTGTATCATCCTTTAGAGGGAAACTATCAAGCAAGTATGCTTCATTTCCCACAACGTTAACAATACACAAGTACCAGTGTTCATACACATGGTCACATATAGGGAGATAAATCTAAAAAAAATTAAAAATTAGTTAATGTCAATTTATGAAATCTCCCCGTAATGGTAAAAAAATGTAGTGCAAACATCTAACCTCCTTGCAAGCATCAATATCTCCCATGTATTTATCTTTGTAGTGCCTGATTAGTTTCTCCACTGTAGGCGGCTTTTCAGTCCACATTAAAACATGATTCTGCATAACAAAATTGTAAGTCTTCAAGATTAGAGAAAAATACAAGATTATAATATAGCAATATGACCATCACATACTCACCGTAAATAACCATGGCATGAACCAATAATCACTTCATTTGCAGCCACGATATGCTTGTGTCAACCCAGCGGCAACAAGATTAATCACCTAGATGATCGATCATTAGAAATGTACCTAAACATTATTTTTTTGAAATTGATAAGAGAAATATAAATACTCACTCCGGACTGCAGATGTTTTCCATCACCTAAACTAGCAAGATCTTCTCTTGTAATATGATAAGTGTCAAACTCGACCAACCAGCTACTGCATAATCTCAGAAATTGGTATATTAAAATTGGACAAAAGGACATTTAATCCGTTATAGAAGGAAAAATTCAAACTCTACCTTTCAGTATTTCTTAGAGATTTCTCAGCGAATAAAAATGCCCAAAGATTCTCAGTATAATCCGGTAGTATATTCACAATATCTTCATCTACGATCTATTCACAAAAAGTAATTTTATAGTTACTAACAATCAAATGGCGAATACAAACATATGCAAATTTAGATGCATGAGAAAGTAACCATTGTACACTGTTAGCCTACATACCTCCTTTTTTCTAGTTTTGTCGCCTTTCTTAGGACCTTTACGTCCTCCTCGAGGTTTTGCTGGTGATGGTTGTGGACGGACAAAAGGGGACATGAGTAGAGGACCAGTTTTAAGAGTTTGAGGATCTCGAAGTCCCATCTTTTTATTCTCTCTTGGTTGAGCCTTGGGATTCATGAGTGCCTCAAATGAATCTGATTCGACGTCATCCTACAACATTGGAAAAAATCATTACAAGTAGATAAAGTAAATAATTCATAATATGTTAATTAAACACCTTAAAGGTCTTACAACTTGTTCTGCCTTTCTCTTCTTCAGATTTTGAGACGGGCTCTCATTATTAGATTTCACGAATCCTACTTTTTCCTTAAAGACAATAGATTAGGTAAAACAATTAAATTTACAAAAAAAAAAGATTTGCTACAATCTAATAATGATGTCTTCAAATATGAAAGCATCATTACCTTTTTCTTTTTCTTCAATTCTGATAATTTTATAGGTGAACTTGCATCATCAGAAAGCTCCACCATATCCACTTCCGTCTTCAGATTATTCAACTTATCATATAGATTAGTTGAATTCTCATTTGAATTAAAATCATCTTCAGTTCCTTTGCTTACACTGCTCCTGCCCTTTTCAAACGGGACAGCTTCCCCTGCTGGACTCTTCGAAGCCGATTCATTCAATTTATGGCTCTTAACAGGAACAGGTACAGAATCATGGTCTTTGATTTTGTTTCCCACTCCCTGTTGTAGTTGACTTTGAATGGCAGCTAATGTTGTCATTACTTGTGATTGAAGATGAGATTTCCACCTTAAAAGCACCTAATTGTGACATAGTGAACTCTGATTCTTTTTTTAACTCACTTTTTCAGTTCAATCATCTCTGCTCTAACATCCTGTTTGAAAAATAAACAAAATGACACAAATTGCCAAGATGAAAATTACATAAACAAATAGTCAGATGAAAATCCAACCTCAATTGTATAACAGCTTGCAGGATCTCTTCCAAATCCCACCTACATACATAGATATATCAAATGTAAAAAATCAATGCATGATACCGAATCTTATTCAACAATAATAAAAGAACATTTTGGTCTAGTATTTACCTGGATGCTATCAACCCCACCTAACCGGTAAACATTTTTAACAACCTTCGAAATGGAGTTGTCATCCCAAACTCGTATGCACGGTAATGAACTTGAGTCACGAGCAAAGTTATGCAATTGCACATGGTCCAAGTAAAAAATCTAATGCAATGTGGCATTAATTCATATTCTATGAATAATATCTATATTATACGACATTAAAGTTTAAACAACAAATTTGTACTTACCTCCAGTAATAACATGCATCCTGTCACAGATTGTTCTCTTGATGAAGAGTCTTCTGGTTTGCTTTGATAGTCTTTAATACCTTCTAAAAGACCATCATAGACGAACTTTGCCCAATTCAAGTTTCCCACAACATTGATGTTCGTTAAAATGTTTAAATAACTATTTGGAACATGAACGGAAGTAGACGGTCTCAAAAGTCTACACATTAAATATAAAAGAAATTTCCCTGTGAACTCTTCACCTTCCGTGAGATCTTTCACCAAATATGTTTTTAAACTCAAGCATTTTATTTGTCCAGTATCCAAATTAAATCTTACCCTCACTCCGCCATCACACTCACCTAACTGGGTTTCTACATCCATACCTTGAGCAGGTAATCCCAGTATGGTGACAACATTATCTACACTTAGAGACAGTCGATTACCGTGCACATTCAGTTCACTAGTTGTCACATTGAATCTCATCATAAGTTCCTCCAAAAGATTCAACTTCAATTTATGCTTCTTCAAGTGCAAGAGTGCACCAAATCCAATTTCTTCAATGACCCTCTTTTTACCATCACATAAACTGTCGATGAGCTCACAAAATTGGTATACGCCACAACGGCTACTCAAATATACCTATGTCAATCAATGTCAACCAATATTCAAATAAACAAATTTCCTATGAAATTAGAAATCAAGCAAATAAACTAATTTTATACATAATATCAAAACAAAATCACCAAACTCAAAAGCTTAACAGTGATTACAATAGTCTTAAAAAAGACCACTAGTTTTTAATGGATTACCTTTTTCTTTCTTTGTTGGTTTTCATCATTAAGTTCGGAAGAGACTCCTTCGTCGATCTTACTCATCTTTGAACTGTACATAACATAAATTAAATTTGAACTTTAATAAAACAAGTACGAGGATGAGTAACAGCTCAAAAAATGTTGGGTTACGTTTCATATTGAACATAAAGCTTGCAAATCCCCATTCATGCTTACGTATAATTTGCAAAAGCTTTTTAGTTTTATTATTATAGTGATGATCCAAGTAAAGAAGTAATATGAGTAGAATTAACAAGAAAGGTTGATTAATTGGTTAGTAGTATAATGAATTCACCTCCAAAGTTTCTTCCCGCTAATTTCAACAAAAATTTTGTTTGTGGCTCTTTGACCAGCTGTAATTAATGGCCTTCTCTACAATTTTAAATATTGCACAGACACCAACATACCAATTTATTTTCACTATGTTTGGGAAGGGGTGTAAATGGAAGGGGGTGCAAGTTTGGAGGGGTAAACACAAGTTCCAAGGCGTTTACTCCCGTTTGGTTATTTTGTAACAGTAGGGGGGTGCAAAACGTGAGCGTAAATTCACTGTTTCGGCTTACCCCCCAAATTGGGGTGCAAGGGAAGGAAGGAAGGGAGGGGGAAGGGGGAGGAGGGGAATTATGAATTTTTAATTAGATTATAATTACATAATAATCAATATTATTAATTTTTTCTTATATCTATATTAGTGTAGAAGTTGTTTGGGGTTGACCGTTTGACTTAGAGAGCAAGTTTGTCAATGTTCGCCTCGTCAAATCGATATCTCTTAGTTGACCCGAATTTGCATTGAAAATTAGAGATAAGAAGCATTTGTTGAAAAGATAGAGAGTAACAGTTTAGTTAACTCGATTTATTTTAATAAGTAGTTAAAACTTACAGATTCGAATGTGTTTGACTAAGTTTGACCATATTCAATTTAAAGTTAGGCACGAGAACCCCCTTAGGATGACCAGTTACGAGTTGGATTTCGAGTTTCAAGGTTGCTCGACCAATGATTATTATTGTTGTTATAAATAATTATATTTGAGCATTATTATATAATAATTATTTTTATTAAAATTATTTTTATTATTATATATTGAATTTTCATGTTATTATTTTGTGATAATATTTTATAAATTGATAAATCTATTTTATAATAATATAATTACTTACTTTTTACTCTATTTGCACCCCCCTACTTTTTCATCCAAACAACAATTTACCCCTCCATTTACACCCTCCACCAAGTTGCACCCCCCAACAATTTACTTCTCAACTTGTACCCCCCTCGAACTTGCACCCCCTTGTTGCCAAACATAGTATTTAACAAGAAAGATCGATTATCAAGGGTGCTAAACCTGAACCCTAAAAAGACACCAACATACCGAGTAATTACATTAGGGGAAGAACTGTAGGTTAATTTTATGGAAGAGGGAGCATCGTAATTACCTTCCTAGTTCCCTTTACCGCAGTTCTTTCTTCCTTTTCTTTTATCCAGCATGTAGCGACGTCAGCCGAAGAGATTGAGCAAGCACCTCCAGCGTCTAATAACTATCCAGCATGCAACCACAATTATCACCACGCTGCGGCTGCGATCTCAGGTACGTAAGCGAACGCCGGGAAGGATCCTAGCCAGTCGATTTCCAACGAAGCTCGATAAACAAGGACGGTACAATCATGACGGTGGAAGCAAGTGCACGCTGGGAGTGATCCAAAGCAGGCGATTGTCGTCGACTTGATGAGCAAGGATACGTACAGCTACGACGGCGGCCGCAACGAAGATGAAGCTTGAGATTATTTAGACTCGGGACTGCAGATTAAGCAATAATTAGGAGGAACAAACCCTAACGCGTTGGTTACGGGAACAATAAAACTAAATGAATAAGTGAGATGACCGGCAGCCCCGGTGACAAGTATTACGGATGTTTTTATGTTTTTAATCCGAGGGTCTAAGTTTATTTTAGTATGATCTAACGGTGTAAATCTATACAAGTTACCTAACTTGAAATTATACCCCAGTTATCGTAGGAGATCCCTTATATATTTATTTATTTATTTATTTCAAATGTAATTAATTTTGTATTCGATAATATCGATTGGGATACTGCAGTACCGATTGAGATTTGAAATACCGAAACTATTTAGCAATGGAGATTCAAATTGACTTTCGGATGTAATTCGGCATTCGTGATTTCGGTATTTAGTATTGGGATATCAATACAATACCGATTTAAAATAATATCATAATACCATATACCGATTTAGTTTCACCATTATTGGATTTAATGAACACAACCCATTCCAATGCCGATTTTGACATTTAGGTTATGGATAAGACAAGGGAAATCGGGTGGTTGTGGTGGATGAGCAAAAACCAACTAGGAAGAAAACGCCACATCCAGTCGCCATTGCTACCCAACCCCAAATGGCCACGTCCATCGCCACCACCGCTACTCCAGTTCTCTCCGGATCACTCTACCGCTCCTCCGCCGTCGCCGCCGGCCCACCTCCAAAACCACCGCCGCATCTCCCCAAACCCCAAATCCTCACCACCCTCACCGCCACTTTCGCCGCCACCACAATTCTGTCGGCCGGCCTCCCATCCCTAGCCGAACCGAGCAATTACTCCCTCTACTACGGGACGGCGGCCAGCGCAGCCAATTACGGTGGCTACGGCGGAAACTCCGACAAGAAAGCCTCCGCCGAATACGTTTACGACGTCCCCGAAGGTTGGAAGGAGCGCCTGGTCTCCAAAGTCGAGAAGGGCACGAACGGCACCGACAGCGAGTTCTTCAACCCGAAGAAGAAGACCGAAAAGGAGTACCTGACTTTCCTCTCCGGATTCCGCCAGCTGGCTCCCCGCGACGCCGTGCTCGACAATTTGGCCCTCTCCGACGTTGATCTCCAGGATTTGATCGCCACGGCGGAGGGCGTGAGGAGCGAGGAGAAGAAGGACGAGAACGGCCAGGTCTATTACGAGTACGAGATCGATGGAGTTGGGAAGCACAGCTTGATTAAGGTGACTTGTGCTAGGAATAAGCTCTATGCTCATTTTGTAAGTGCGCCGGCGGCAGAGTGGAACCGTGATCAGGATACTTTGAGGCATCTCCATGAATCCTTCAAGACTGTGGGTTGATTGAAATTCAATTAAACGCAGAAACTTTTTCTGTTGTATCTTGACCTAATCTGAGTGAAACATTGTGGGCTTTGTATAAACTTGAACTCCTATCGGCCTTTTTAGTTTTGTTCTCATACCCTGAAAAATTCTCAGCTTTGGTACTCTGTTTTCACCTTCTGGGCAATCGTAAAGTTCTGATCTTTATCTGTAATTTAAAACATGAGCTTGATTTCTCGGCTGGGTCGCAATCCTATCACCCAGTTTTTATCTCGTTGGTTCCACTCCGAACCAGCGGAGGATTCAGCCATTTCCATAGCAACCCATCTGTCGAGCTGCTTCGATTTGCAGGAGCTCAACCAAATCTACGCCCACATTGTGCGAACCAACTTCCTTGCCTTGAATTCAGCTCCGTTTCATTGGAACAATGTGATAAGGGCGTACTCCAGATTGGATCGTCCCAATCAAGCACTACGAGTCTACGAATCGATGTCCCGCGCTGGGGTTTTACCCGATTGTTATACTATCCCCATCGTGTTGAAATCTGCGGGACAAATTCTCTCCATCTGGGTAGGCGGGCAGGTGCATTGTGTGGCCGTGAAGATAGGGCTGGAGTCGAACGAGTATTGCGAGAGTGGATTTATAAGCTTGTACTCGAAGTGTGGGGAGCCTGGCCTTGCCCTCAAGGTGTTCGACGAAAATCCTGACAGAAAGCTGGGATCTTGGAACGCCGTGATTGGAGGACTCTGCCAATCAGGGAGGGCCAAGGAAGCGATCGAGATGTTTCTCAAGATGATGAAACGCGGTTTGCGGCCTGATGATGTTACCATGGTGAGCTTGACTTCTGCTTGCGGAAGCCTCGGCAACTTGCAATTGGCAACGCAGCTCCACAAATGCGTCTTCCAAGCCACCAATTCAACGAAGCCCGACACCTTAATGCTGAATTCCCTCATCGACATGTACGGAAAATGCGGCAGGATGGACCTAGCCCACAAGGTCTTCTCAAGAATGGCCGACGAATCGAGAAACGTTTCGTCCTGGACATCGATGATCGTCGGCTACGCTTCCCACGGCCAGGTGAACTCAGCCCTCGAGTGCTTCCACTGCATGAGACGATCGACCGCAGTCCGGCCCAACCATGTGACGTTCGTCGGCGTCCTGAGCGCCTGCGTCCACGGTGGGAGGGTGGAGGAAGGCAAGGCGTATTTCGAGATGATGAGGAACGAATTCGGGTTGGATCCTCAGTTGCAGCACTACGGGTGTATGGTTGATCTACTGGGGCGTGTGGGTTTGCTGAAGGAAGCTAGGGAGGTGATAGAAGGGATGGAGATGGAGGCCAATGTGGTGATATTTGGGTGCTTGATGGGTGCCTGTGAGAAGTATGGTGATGTGGAGATGGGAGAGTGGGTGTGTGAGAATTTGCAGAGGTTGGAACCTTGGAACGATGGGGCTTATGTGGTGTTGTCGAATATCTATGCCAATCGAGGTATGTGGCGGGAAGTTGAGAAGCTTAGGGTGGTGATGAAGGAGAGGAAGCTAGACAAGGTTCCCGGTTATAGCTTGGCTGCTTAGTCTGATAGCTCTTCCGTTTTTGGAGATGGTTTTGTTTTTGTTTAAAGTTAAGCATGTACTGAGTTCGACTCATTGTCTAATACTGCAATTCCAAGTACATAACTCTAACACATTGCACCAAAAGTAGCAATTGATCTATAAATTTAAAACATCACCCATTTTCAAATCTATAGTTAGCTCCAAGGTTACTAATTTTGTGTCCATTACTTTTTTCTTCCATTGATCGATAAATTAGCTCCAAGGTTACTAATTTTGTGTTGAACACCTAAAAATCAAAATAATCTATTCCACCACCAATGAACAACTTGATCAAATAATCAAGCTCCATTTAATAGTTGGTAAGTCGATTTTTCGCTGTGAAGGTAAGTTCTTTTATCCACCGGTTCCTCTCTCTCAATTCCCATTTGGGTTTATGAACTCTGGGTTTTGATTATGTCAGCTAAATGAAAAGTAGTGAGTGAATAAAACAAAATCCTGGACAACTTTTCATTAAGTAGTACACTATGAGAGTTGCAGTTTCAGCAGAAAAATAACTTGAGAATTAAATTAACACAAAAAAGTTTAGAGGTCACCAATTTTGTAATTAACATGTTTATATTAACACTAGTCTCTGCAGCGGATATCCTTATGCTAATATATTGGGGTTTTAATGTTTTGTGAATATTTAGTCATCTTGCAATGAAATCAAGTGATCACACACTCTTACACACCATTATTATTATGAATAAGAGAAATACTATGAACGAAATAACAAGGGAGTTGCTAAAGGTCGCCCTTAGAATTGCTAAAGGTCGCCCTAAAAAAGTTTAAAGTTACACTTATAACCCCCTATCTTCTTTACCTTCCTTTTATCAAACAAACACCACTTGACCTAAAAAAACACTATCTAAGGAGAGAAAAATCCACCATCGTCATTTTGAAGCCGATATCGTCGGTAGGACGTCTGAATCATGAGTAGCGACTCCGACGAGGTAAATACCGAAACTGAAAAACGAAAAAAAAAAAACCAAAAAATGCCCAACCGCAATTGACCTGCTGTTGAACCATGGCCGGACCGCAAATCCCCTGCGGTTGAACCATGGCCGAACCGCAAATCCCCTGCGGTTGATCCATGGCTGGACCGCAATTGACCTGCGGTCCGGCCATGGTCCAACCGCAGGTCACTTGCGGTTGGGCATTTTCTGTTTTTTTTTTTTCGTTGAATAATTTTCTATTTTTTATATGATTTATGATTTGTTCCATGAGATAATTTGTTGGGTTTTGATTTATATAATTTTCTAGATTTATTTGCATAATTATTTTTGGAATTGAAGGATTTAGCATTAGAAATTAAGATTAGATTTGGCCTTAAATTAAGATTAGATTTAATTTGGTCTTAATCTAGAAAATTAAGATTAGATTTTGCATTACAAATTAAGATTAAATTTATTGCATAAATAATAGATTCGCATTAGAAATTAAGATTAGATTTGGCCTTAAATTAAGATTAGATTTAATTTGGTCTTAATCTAGAAAATTAAGATTAGATTTTGCATTACAAATTAAGATTAAATTTATTGCATAAATAATATATTCGCATATGAAGATTAGATTTAATTTGGTCTTAATCTAGAAGATTAAGATTAGATTTTGCATTACAAATTAAGATTAAATTTATTTTATCATATGGTACTCATTAAATTGACGATATAGAATGTTAAGTTTTTTTTTTTAATTTGTGGGGTATCACTTATAAATTCTGATAACATTGCAGGATATTGGAAGTTACAATCCTGATGGTCATGATTACACCTCGGATTTCATTGATGGCGTGAAATACACTACGGAGTTGCAAGCATATGAAGCAGCTACTGAGATTGCCAAGGGTTTTGGGTTTTATTTGGTGAGGGCATCAAACAAAAAAAATAAGAATGAAGGTACTTGGCGACATTACTTACATTGCACTCATGGTAGGAAGAAGAAGTCGACGGCACCTGATCCGAGTAAGGAAAGGAGGCCTCTTACATCTACTGAAAAGTTGGGGTGCGAGTTTCAGATCAAGCTTGAGCGGTCAGGTGATGGATATTGGTTGATCCTAGGGGTGGCAAATACAAAGAATCCTGGTGCTAATTTGGGTTTCCACAATCATCAGTTGGAGCTATTTCCAGAAGGATCAAAGGGAAGGAATGTTCTGACTACAGAGGATAAGCAATACATCAGAGAGCTGAGATCAGCCGGTGTCCCACCAAGGAATATCCACAAGGCAGTGAATGAGAGAAAAGGTGCAAATGGAACACACAACAGAAAGCAGATTTATAACGAGTTGCAAAAGATAAGGAAAGAAGAGCTTGGTCAGATGACAGCCTTACAGTATACTTTCCGCGTGGCGCAGGAGAAGGGTTACTATGTGCAGTATATGGACGATCGTAACGTGCTTACACACTTGTTCCTAGCCCACCCTGAGTCAGTAGTGATGTTGCGAGCTTGGCACCATGTGATCGTGATAGATGCAACATACAAGACCAATAAGTATGATATGCCTTGGGTTGAGATTGTCGGCATGACACCAGTGGGATTGAACTTTGTCATTGCATCTGCAATAGTGTACGACGAGACGAAGGAGTCGTACCAGTGGCTTCTGACGCATTTGCAACATCTTCTTGGCCCCATTGTTCCAGATGTGTTTGTCAGTGACAAGGCAGGAGGATTGGTTGAGACCGTGGGGGTAATGTTTCCATCATCGACTCATATATTATGTCTTTGGCATATGGATAGGAATGTGAGAGCAAAGTGTCTAGCGGAGGTGAGAAGGACGACTCATTGTGGTATAGATGCAAAGTGCCTATGGAAGCCGTCCAACACTCCACGGTCCTGCTCAGGGGTATTCCACAGTACAAGACCAATGTGACCTCCAAAGCTAGGGATCACATCGGGAATCACTGGTCCACCTGAACACATCGGAGACTCGGCTGTAAGAAACCACGACATATCTTTCCTCGTGGTCTTCCTCTTCCTATTTCCATCTCCGCCATCCTCGCTACTAGGTCTGGACGCATAGCGTCCATCGGGGCCACGGAAGTGGGAGGAGGCAGTAGAAGATATCCCGACCCGCGCCGTCTTCCCTACGCCTAAATCAGCTTGAGGTGGGGCATCCCCATCCTCAGCATCACCAGCAGCATCACCAGCACGATCACCAGCAGCATCACCAGCACGATCACCAGCAGCATCACCAGCATCTGGGGCATTCCCAACCTCAGCCTCACCGTCATCATCATCATCCTCGTCAATGGAATCACTCCAATTAGCCTGCCATACCGGTGCGCTCTGTGGTGTAGGAGTACTGGTAGTACCTCGACTAAGAGACAACTGCCCCACAGTAGGGTGGCCGTCATGACGCACTACATCCGCCTTCTTTTTCTTTCTAACCTTAGGTGGATTTTTTTCTTCATTTTCCTTCCTACCAGTCGCCGTAAGTCTACAAGCACGACCTTCCATTCTCTCCTTATTTCTCGCCTTAATCATATCCAGTTTACCCATTCCATGTCCAGACATCTTCAAAAAAAAGTTTGAATTATTAATAATGGATTATTAATAATAGAGTACATAAAGTAATAAATTAAAGATTTCCATAATTAAAATTGTAAAATTAATAGTTTGAACA